CTCCCCTGCCCTCACTCCAAGCACAGCTTCACCAGGTTGGCCTGGACCTTGGCTTGGTCCACGGCATCCAGGAGGTTCTTGGCGTCCACGGCCAGGGTGTGGGAGGCCGTCAGCATCTGCCGCTTGCACTCTTCGCTCAGCGAGGTGACGGCGTTCTGCTGTGCCAGGCGCATCTTGTTGATGAGGTCGGCCAAGTCTTTGTTGAGCAGCTTTTGGGTCCCCTCGATCTGACCGTGACACGCAAGGGGTTACAGACAGGGGTGCCACCGGCACCCGATCCCACGCTGGACCCCTCTCCCTCCTCCCCGGTCCTACCTCGGTGCGGGAGGCGGCGGGCAGGACGGGCAGGATCTCGTCGACGCTGCCGATCAGCTTCCGCAGGGACAGGCCCACGTTCTGCAGGGAGGGCGGCAGGGTTAGGATGACTCCAGGCACGGGCACAGGGAAGTGGGGCATGGGAATAGTCTGTGCCACTGCGTCAAGGATCCCATTTGGGAGAGGGGCATAGTGGGAGACTCTCCCACTGTTGACACAAGGACCCAACGGAGGAGCAGGGAGTGCTGGAAATGCTCCCACCATTGACCCAAGGACCCAATGAAGAACAGGGAGTGTTGGAAATGCTCCCACCATTGACCCAAGGACCCAATGAAGAACAGGGAGAGTTGGAAAGGCTCCCACCATTGACGGAGGAGCAGGGAGTGCTGGAAATGCTCCCACCATTGACCCAAGGACCCAACGGAGGAGCAGGGAGTGCTGGAAATGCTCCCACCATTGACCCAAGGACCCAACGGAGGAGTAGGGCATGTTGGAAACTCTCTCATCGTTGACCCGAGGACCCAGTGGAGGAGCAGGACATGTTGGAAACTCTCCCATCATTGACCCAAGGAGCTAAAGGAGGAGCTGGGAATGTTGGAAATTCTCCCTCCTACACGTGCAAGACCTTCCTGAGAAGGACGCGTGGTGGGTGTCGCTCAGCAGACTCATTCCCAACTCCCTCCCCCATTCCCCTGGCATTGCCCCCATCCCTGCCCTCCCTACCTTCACCACGAGGATGTACCCTTCCGGGGGCAGGAGGCTGATCTCGTTCTTCAGCTGCAGCACGGCCCGCACCAGGTCCATGACGTTGCTGTACACCATGTCATCTGTGCGGTCCAGGTTGGCGGTGGGGGTCGGGTGGATGGACTGCTGGGGAACGGGGACACGATGGGATCAGCTGGATGGAGGGGGCAAGGAGGGGAAGACCAACACCTATGGGGAGCCCTGGCCAGACCCATCCACAACGCTGCTGGGTCTGTCTGGGGGAGTCAGAAAAGTCCCATCTCGCAGATGCAGAGGGATGATGGAGGTGGAGGAGGAGGAATGAGACTGTGGAGATGGAGGAAGAGGACCGGGACCGTGGTGGCCTGATCCTGGGAGGTCTTACCTGTGCCCCAAGTCTTGGAGGCTTCTGGGGGGGCCCCGTGAACTCCGCTATGCCGTCAGTAAGGGAAAGGAAGGAGAGTCACTCTGGCTGTTCCCCTGGACACACAGGCACGCTGCAAGACCCCTGGGACCCCTGCCACGTCCCACACCACCTTGGAGCAGCGCGTCCCACTGTGCCCGGACACC